CCTGCCTTGCGTCAGATAAGTACTTGGCTCTCAAGTATTTAGCTGTACCATTCGCTATCTTCATCTAAAACTTGGATCTTTTTGCTGCTGTGCTTCGGTCCTTTATAACCTGTTACGTGTTTCGTATTAGCTTTGATGCTATACGAGAGGTTATTTGTCATCACCGCATGAAATACGTCTTTAGCCTTTAATACGTGAATATTTCAATTCAGGTTTGACGGTAGAGTAAGTCTAGGGACCTCAATAAAAATGCTGTCATCCTACTTGTTAAGAGGTCCTACATGAAGAATTCTTGAAACATGTCTTTAACATCGACGAGTGAATCGATGAACCACTGGTCTACTCTGGAGACGGAAGTGTGATGATTGTGGAGGCGCAGTCAGAATAGTGTGCAGAGGTGCCTTTTGGTAATCGACTGTCTTCCTGAATCCGCCCTTTAAATGCTTCGTCAGTTTTGGTTGTGGAGTTCATTCTACACAGGCTAGACTAGATCGCCATTCCTACCACTGCCTTTTCGGCTTGATTGCCTCTAACTTGGTTCTTAGGTAGAAGCACATGTGGTGGAGTTTACCTGAGTGGATTATGGAGGGCTAGTATGAGGTTCTTCATTGGGTCAGACATTGAAATTGAGATTAGTTTCCATTGACTTTGCAGTGCTCGCTAAATTTGGGATGCTGCATTGGAACGACTGTTTGTAAAATTGGTGGTTGAAGACATTTTCTCGTGTGTAGCGTTGCTGCTGCGCGGTCAGTGGCTTCGAGTGGGTGAAACCCAGTCGTAATTGCTATTTGTCCTGCATCGGGTGAACGGTCGGTTCTCTGACTTTATGACACACAGAGCAATAACGTTTGCTCAGTGGTGGAGTGCAAAGGCCATTTTTGCTAGAAATTGGGAGCCAGGCTAGAATGTGGAAACCGGATGTGCTGCAATTGCAATAGGTCTCGTCAACCGACGCTTTGTGTGGGTTCAAGCGTGGTGAGTAGTAGTGGACAGTCCAATAAACGGCGTATTGCTAATGAACCAACAGATTTCCATGCTTTATAGCACGTATATGAGCAATGCCCGCATTTCACAAGTCCCTGAAACTTAAGGCAAAGCATTGTAGTGGGCTCTGCCGAAAACCGCACTTGTAAGTTCATCAGTTACTTTTTCGAATCGTCTCATTGACGTCATTGTTGGACCATAG